CTAAACCCACAACCTGTCTTCTGTCTCGCCGCTCCAGCTGCTCACATCTCCGTCTTTGCTTTTGTAACGAGCTGCTCAAGCGGCCACCAAGCGACCCGCCCAACGGGGACTCTGCCGGTGCTCCGGTGGCTAGCTGGCTTTTTTCCTACCGGAGTTCCGAACAACTCTCCTTTGGCTGACAGCAGCTTTGCTGAAGATGGACTGGAAGCTGCTGACGATGAGGAATTTGTTTTGTGTGGATGTGATCACTGAACTGGAGCCTGAGCTCAGACGACAGGAGCTCTGAACTGTCAAGATATCCTCAAGGTAGCTTCCCAAGTGAAAGCTGGGACTGATCCACGACTTCCAAAAGTCTTTGGTTTGTCCAGAAACAGAAACTGCTTCAGTGGACCGACTCCAACAAAAACACCTGTCCTTCTGCAGCAGAGCATGTTACAAAGTGTGATTAGTGAGGACCGTGCTGACCCATGTGGGTTTGGTCAGCCTGTGAGACGAGAACAGGTTACGCTGAAACATACAAATTCATGACTTGTTATTGTTAATAAAAAGCTCTTGCAGCTTAATCTGCTGGACCGGGGTCTGAGGTATTTAAGGGTTAAAGTCTTTGAGTTGTTTTCTACGAGAGGTTTACGAGGTTCACTAAGTGTGTGTGCTGCTCTTTGCATATGAAGTGTGATGAACGCGGCCTCTTCCCATCATCACCTCCAGAGAGATGAGAGGGAGCAGCAGGAAGTCACGCCCTATCACCTCCAACACACACGGGATCACCCTAACCCTGGACTGATCATGGTTTTGTGTTTGCGTGTGCTGGAAACTAACTGGAAAGACGTTCATCATTTCTTTCCAAAACATCACACCCCACACTGACGCCTCCGTTCAGGCACAAAAGGCCGGACAGCGCTGCAGCAGGACGGGATGTTAAAGCACCGGAGGCCAGCAAAGACGCTCGTTAATGTCAGAGACACATCGTGCTTAGAAGACAGGAAGATGTCCAACGTGTCTCACTGTCAGGTCCATGTTCTACAGAAGGCCTCTGAACAAACGTCTGGTTTTTACTTTTAAGGAGCGCCGACACACCTTGGCAGCTTGTCAGTTGTCAAGGTTAAAATCAACTGGACCACATGTTAGACAGAGAGGACGGATGGTTGGAAAGAGCCATTTACACCCGGGTGGAGAAGCCGCCGCCCAACAGGGGAGGACGACACCACTTATTCCCCAGTGCTGTCCTTTCACCACTAATTTCTGTGAAACTTCAGTTTGCTTGGTTGTTATTCACGTAAAACTACGCTCACCTCCTCGTGTTCCTGCTTGGATTCAGTCTCCCATCTTCATGTTTTGTCTTCTGCGATGTTCTTCATCAGTTTCTCCAGCTCTGATTAACTCAAACAGCCGAGACCGAAACCAGGGCCCGTATTTATCAAGCTTCTCAGAATTACTCATAAGAACTCTGCTAAAGAACCGACTCAAGAGTAAAAACATTCTTGGCTCAAAGCTTAAAAGTTAGTTATCAAGCATCTCAGTCCTACTTTGAGTGAAGTGCAGGACTAAATCTTAAGTTTCAGTCTTAGTGCTGATTCACGACACTTTGCTGCGCCGCAAACAGGACTTTGGATGACGATGTCGCCAAGGACCAATCACTGAAGAGATTTCCTTCTTTAAGAATATTCTCAGACAAATTCACACTGACAGGTGAAATTCCTGAGAGGAGTTTATATTCAACACACATTTAATAAAGAATTTTCCAGATAATACATTATGATCTAGGCCTACACATTAATAAATGAAAGATAAAAATGACTTTTCGGCTTCTCATCAGCATCGCAGCGTTTGTCCTGTGGCAAAGAAACGCATTACTGCGTAAATTCAGTGGCGAGATGACCTCCCTCACCAACTCACTGACAAAGAATTCTTCCTCTCCTCTCTGCATGTCTCCGTCTCCACAGCGCCATCACAAGCCCTACTGGCAGCTCCTGACCACATGAGAGACCTCCGGAGCTTCTCAAATAACTGGGAGAGTGAGAGTGATTCTTAGCTTTGAGTAAGTTTAAAAGTAGGAGTAAATTTCATGAATTCTCAGCACTTAAGACTAAAATGGCACTTTGAGAAGCTTGATAAACACGGAGGCCCTCCACACCAAGCCGAGCCCATTCATCTCTAAAATATATGTTTATAGGGTATATTTGGACTGTTCACGTGTGATTTATTCAGTTAATTATACTTTCTGCAAATCCTATTTTCCTACACAAAGGTCTGAATGTGGTTTCAAAGCCTGGAATAAACATTTATACTGAATCTCTCTGTCCTGAAGGCAGAACAACTTAAATATACCAAGTCACAAACTACTGGAATCAGCCTGCTTACTGCCAAAGCTGAAGAAAATCTCCTGATAAAAACCCAGGAGACGGGTCATGATTGTCTTCAGTGGGGTCCTGACAGGAGGAGGATTCTGCAGAAAATTAACTTCCCACATTTCAGAAGTCAGTAAGAAAGTCGCCTCGCCTCATTCCCTCCAGTGACTTTGTATTTTTAACAGTTCCTGACTGAGTGCAGCCGTAATACGCAGCCTTACAGTCTCTGATCAGGGTTAAGGCCTCAGAACAGTGTTCAACAGGCAGAGTAATCTAACGCTGAGCTGCAGATTTCCCTTCAGAGCTGTCGTCTGGTTTCATGACATGACGTTCTGTCACTCCTTTCAGGAAGCTGACATCTGATCCTGTTGCAGTGTTGTTGTTTTCTTGGACGTTGACACTACAGGAAGTCCCCGGTTTGTGATGAATCACACCTGAGCCTCCCAGACATGTCAGTCTGCGTCTCCCTCGGCGACTCCGCCACCGTCCAGATGCGTCACAGTTCCTCGATTCCAGTAAACAGCACGTTCATTCAAGGATTTCTTCACCATCCATCACCCTGTCATCCTGCCCGTCCTCCTCCTTCCTACAATATCATCGAAACACCCGACGTTTCCAACAGTTTCCCCGAAAGGCGCGAGACATCACCGTGGATCAACCTGCAGGGAGTTTAGATTCTTATTTCTGATGTGTCTCCATGTTTTGAGCGATGATCGGGGATTAATGTCACGAACAAGCTGAGCTGCAGCCAATATTTTCCTGCATGTGTCCCAGAACAATATCAGCAGACGAGTCGGGGAATCACTCAACATCCCAACAGTTTAATCTTCGTCCGCAGTGTTGATCCCTGCACAGAGAGAGAGCGAGAGGAAGAAGTTTAAAGCTGCACTTTTATATATTTTATTTTACCTTTATATAACCAGGAGAGTCCCGTTGAGATTAACATTCTCCAAGACAGGCAGCAGCACATAAAAAAACACATAGGTACAGACAAATAACACAGAAGACCAGTAAGCTAACATTTCATAAATCATTTACATATTAAGGCATCTACCTCTAAGTCTTGCATTTTGGATTTTAAAGCGTTTAGCGAGATTAATTCAGTGAGTTTCAAGTCCTTTTGCAAAGTTTTCCATGCTGAGGGTGCAGAACACACAAATGCCTTATTTCCCGTTTCCGTACGGGTATTTCGCACAGAGAGCTTAAAGAAGTCCTGAGAACGCAAAGAGTGTCGCCCTTTTCTGCATGATAAGTACACATCTTGGCAGCAGACCAAGAATTGCCATATTAGGAAAGTGTACCAATGACAGAGCCGAGAGGCGAGAGGACGCCATCCAATCCGAGGGGATAGCTCACCGTGGTGAGTCAGCGCTTTGCAATTGGTAATTAACCTCAAGGAAGCATGGTAAGCTGTGTCAATCAGATGAAGACTCTGTGCAGATATAAAAGATCACCATAGTCCAGAACAGATAAAAAAGTGACCACAAGTCGCCGTAAAAGAAGAACACAACTTACCAGGTCCAGCACATGTGCTTAAAAGTCAGGGAGTCGTCTATCAAAAGACCAAGATATTCATAGGAGTTAACAACCTCTATTTCACTTCCCCCCAGAGGGACCACCGGAGGAGGGATGCTTTGTGGCCTGGTCCTGGATTTGGTCTTATCTGCATTTTGAACTAATTTCAGCTGCATAAAGGTATTCTGGACTTTGATAAACGCATTTTGCAAATATTCAATGGCTTGTACAATATACAAAAGTATCATCAGCATAAAAATGAACATTAGCATTTGACACATTTTGATCCATTGTTACATCAACAGTGGATCAAATAGCCACGATCTCTGCAGCTTTTTAGCTTCTTTCAGCTACATCTGGTTTTGCAGCACTTTCAAAAGTTAACTCTCCATATTTAGCACAAAATCTAACCGAACTTCCGGAAACCCATGAAAATAAACTCTGAGCTGCTGCTGCTGTGAGAACACGAGCTCATTGGCTGTTCCTCCAGCCGCTGCCGTTAAACCCCCGCAGAACAAGAAGAGGACTCGGTGAGGAGACGTCAAACGATGGAACACCATGTGGAGAACAGCCTGTTCATAAACTGTTTATTTCCAGAGTGCAATAAACAATCGTTCAACAATTTCTTTTACAAGCCGGGAAAATCAGAGCTCGGATCAGGAGTGCTTTAAATGCTAACGCTGTTTCAAACACTGATTTGAACATGATTTCAGTTAAAAGCTACATTTTTGTTTTTGTTCAAACACAATCAACAAACTCAACTGTGTGTGTTCACTATTCTTTTGCAAATGCGTTAGAAAGACATTTTATGTTTTTACGTATTTTTAAAGTCTATAAAGGAGTGAGGACGGGTTGGATTCCCCCCTGGATATAAAGTTTTAGCTTCTGCCTTAATTCTGCAGTTTACAGTAAACATCATGTGACATAAAATATAGCAGTACATTCAGAAATGATTTTCATTGTTCTTTAGTCTTGGAAAGATCTGGTCTTCATTCTTCAGCAGCAGCTCTAAAGCAGAAATCTAAATGTTTGTGATTCACAGTTTTTCATCAGTCGTGGAAACAACAGCTGACTTTGATTCTCTTGATTCTCTTTCTGCTCATTTTTCTTCTCAAACCTATTGATTCAGTAATCGTGTTCGACAGGTTCACAGACTTTATTCTCTCCCAGCCAATCAGAACACGTCGTTTTGAGCCACGGCCCCCGACTCCAGCAGCGTTTTGATGGCGTCGTCGCTGTAGGACAAGGTGTCTCGCAGCACCTGCACCGTGTGCTGGCCAATCAGAGGCGGGGGCGTCGGCTCGGCGTAGGCGAAGCTGCTGAAACGAACCGCCGGGCCTGAAGACAAACAAACAAACAAACAGAAGCTGAAACAGAGCTGACTGCGAGGAAAAATAGCCCTAATTATTTAAGTATGGAAAATTCATTCAATACACGATGCATTCACTTCCACAGTACTGACTACAGCAACAGGCTTTCAGAGGGAGACCCCGACCACAACCTTGACACGCGTTCAATCTGTCAACACACGCACACACACACATCAACCCTCTCCCAGCAGCGAAAACCACAAGCGTCCGCAAACAATCATGTTCTCTCCTTCATCATCATCCTCTTCATCAAAACCACCCTCATCCACTCTGTGTGTGTGTGTGTGTGTGTGTGTGGTTTCCAGCAGTAAGTACAGATGGACTGATGCCTTCGACCACATCCGCTATTACCCCCCCACACACCACCACCACCTCTCCTCTCAAAATCTTGTTACTTGTGTATCAGCCACGTTGGAAAAAGACGAGTCATGGAACAACCTGATGATCAGTAAATAATCAGAAACAGTAACGAATCAGTGACGAAACATGAAATATATTCTTACTGTTACTGTATTCACACGGCCGAGCAAACTTTAACTACTCTGTACATGCGTAGTTTCATCTAACAACGATCATATGTCAGGAAATGATTGTATGTAAACACGATGTTTCCCAGCAGAAAAGGGAAATACAGTAGAAGTAGTGAAGTACAAGTACCTCAGAGTTGTACTTTAGTACGGTCAGGGTGCAAAATTAACTTCTCTGCCCAGCAGCAGCTAGTGAATGCTCAAAGTCTACCAGCAGCTCAATACAGGACCATTGTTTTTGGCTTGTGAGTGAAGTAAATCTAACATCTGCATATTTTACTGGCGTTGGCTGGTGCTAATTTTGGACCCTGAGTACGGTACGTGAGTAAATCAGTTACACTTAACCACCATCGTGCTTTCTCAGCCCGTTCTCACTCCCAAGTCGTCACATTTGGACGCACAGTCAAGACCCGTTGGCGTCAGTCTGTAACTACGGGGGCTAAGAGGCCCCCCAGCCCCCCTGTAGGATATTTAACAGAAAAGTCAGAGTAAGGAGGTGGTCGGGGTGGACGGTGGGCCAGAAACTGGACTTTTCACCCAGCAGGCCGGTGTTTGTTTCTGTGTGAAACAAGAAGTCAACATTGAATGTTTTTAGTTAGACAAGTAATGTAGTTATTTTAACCCAAACCACAATCTTTCCCTAAACCTTAACAAGTCGTTTTGCAGCCTAAAGCGTGATTTATACTTCAGGTCTACGTGCGGAGCATACAGCATTTATACTTGAGCGTCGGTGTCTGTGTCGTTCTGCAATTACACCCCCAAACACTAGTCGGCGGTAGCGCTACAGCGTCCACTGTGTTGACTCTGCTAACGTGAATGGGGGTAAAATTGTAAACGTGCAGCTGTTGTAGACTTTTCAAAAGTTATCGACCGAGTGGATCACATTCTGATTTCATTTCCCTTGAAATATACTGATCCACCGTGTTACAGCCGCTGGTTTGGACGCTAGTAAAAGTTACTTCACAGCACAGAGCACTTCCTGTCGGCTCAGAGGCATTGTGAGGCTACCCAGCCGACCAATTACAGTTCTTCATGTCCGCACCGCCCCGACGGGTAGTTAAATTTTGCACGTCAGGCTACGGCGTAGGTGACGGGGCTACACGTAGGCTACCCTGTCGATCTGACACAGAAGTATAAATCGCGCTTTGACCTAACTAAATTGCAATGTTTCACTACTTTTATTTTGAAAGTCTAACCGGCAGTTGCATATCTATTATTGCTACCTTGACCCAGTGGCCCTACACGTGGAAAAACAAAGCTGAAGGGTACCCAGGGCGTTAAGAAGCGGCGCCAAGGGGTCTTGAGCAGGCGTCCATATGAGAATGCGTTGTCTTTCTCTGCTTCGTTCTTTCTTGTGTCTCGTTCTTTCCGTCTGTTTACATTCTAGCTTCTAACGAGTGAGCGAGCTTCAGAAACTCCTCTGACTGAGAGATTATGGAACATGGAGGCAACATGGAGCCTGTAGGTACCCGATCCGTGCTGCCTGCCGGATTTCGGATCTGCACAGGCGCAAAAGTGGTCCAGTCTGTCAAAGTCGGCCACCGCAAACGTGCCTGTTAATTAACATAATTACTCGTGTGTCTGTTCTCATCTCAGGGCAAGTACTGACGCTTTCAGAAAGGCTGACAAAGCGTTATTTGATTCATGAGGTACCCTTCAGCGTCCGTTATGAGACACCACCGGACGCGTCTGAATGAGCTAGCTAGGGAGCTAAGATTTATTTGGATCATTTTGAACAGGCAGATTTGCGGTGACCTTCTTTGACTGACAGAAGCACATGTGCAGAACTCATTTAAGACCCACAGAAGAAGAAGATGATGATGAGAAAAGAACGCGGTGATGAAGACGCCTCTGACCTTCCTCTCTTCATCCCTCTCGAAGAAGAAAAACAGAAGAACACGAGGAAGGAAAGGAGGCGGATCGCATCAGTCTTTAGCAGGCAAAGTGTTTTATCTTTGCGTCCTGTCAGGTTGGACTGCATCTCGGAGCTCACGCGTTCTTTCCAGCAGCTTCCTGCGCGTCGCTCAAGTGTTTCTAATAAACAGACCAAACCCCTGCAGATTAGTCTGCGTTTCTTCCATGACTATATTCACATGTAGTTGCACAAAGCTGCACTTGTCTTTTTTCCTTCTGTGGAAGCAGCTTTAGAGGAAGGAGAGCGGGAGGAAAGGAAGGAGTCCGACAGCTGAGGGAACAAACTGTTTATTTCAGGAAACTCACAACAATCATCTGTTTTTTTTAAAAGAACAGCGCTAATGAGCTGAACTCTCACAGGCAGCATGTGTGTGTGTCTGAGGCCACACGTGCATGATCACAGTGTGTGTGTGTGTGAACAGTGCTTCTATTTTCACCCCATTAGTTGTTGTTTTCTCTTCAGTGACACGCAACGAGCGTCGGCCTCAGTGTGTGTGTGTGTGTCAGGGCAAATAATGAAGGAATAGGATTATGTAATGCTTCTATTCATCGATCACATTTCTTTACTTTCTCTATCTGTCCGTCACAGCGAGCCGGAGTGAAAGCACAACTTCCAGGTTCTGTTCCTGAAGCGAGAGACCTCGTTCAGAACCAGTTGTACCAGTTAGAAGAAGTCCACATCAGAGCAGGACCCCGTGTGGATTCATTCAGATAAAGATCCAATATAGTTATTTATTCAAACACCATTTCCATTAGCGGAGATAGCGTGGGGGCGTGGCCGCATATGCGTTGTTATTTGCTTGTAGACACGACTGTACAAGGAATTTTGCATCATGGGAATTCTGGAAGCCTCGTGTTCCTGCAGCGGAGCGTGCAGCCTGCCCGCGTTAATGACTCGTCTTTAATACGTCCTTCTTGTGCTTCGACTACCTTCTTCACAGCTCTGTGTGACCCGCTTTCGTTCTGATCATAGACTGTAAATAAGATCTGCAGAGCCCACAGGGAGCTTTTCAGAATAAGAGCGATTTGCCTGCCTGATTTTGTTGATTTAGTGATTAGTGCTTGCTGTTTGACCTGATTAAGCAGCTACGTATTTAAACTGTTTTTCTGTCTCTTTAAACTGTGTTTATTCTTGACATACGATCGGGGGTCTGCACAGGGTATTTTATTTTGAAAATGGCTGCGTATTCTCTCTGGAGACGAGCGGAGAGTTCACTCTCAAAACGTTTTGCTACGTTTTGTGGGCGCTGAACTCGCCCCTGGCGAGAGCTCAAGCTTTGACCAGCGTGGCCTCAGCGGACTTTCTAACTTGATATAAATGTCTTTGTGGCAGGTGGGCCCCCGTGATGAAGCTCCGCCCCCACTGTGCTGAGAGTCTAGCTCCGCCCCCGAACATTTCCCATAAGCCCTTTGCAGGAATGAATGACCTCTGTTGTTCTTTTCACAGGTGACAAACTTTGTGTTTAAAATGTAATTTCTACTAATCCATGTACGGTGAAAGGGTCACATGACACCGGGGAGGGAGACATTCATACATGTTATTTTGAGGGGACAGCAAATTTACACTGTCACTACTTTACTTTGGATCAAAGAGTATTTCTTCAGTGTTGTTTTGGTCACATGTTTGTAGTATTTACCATAATTGACCAGGTTTGTCAGACATGTGCTGGGACGATATTACATCCTTTCCGTGCAAAACCTAAAGGTGAAAAGCAAAGAACCATAACGTCATTTATAACCTACACTTTCCACACGTCTACTCGTTCTTCTTCAGTTCATCCCTCACGTTTCTTTCCTATTCAGTTGTTTTTATTATATAACGTCAGCTGTCGCCTCTCTTTTTAATTTAACGGACACACGCACTTCTTCTCCTGTTTGTTATTTCTTTTCCTGGCTCTAAAACAACGCGCACACACAAAAAGAGGAATGCCACGGAGAGGCCGGCCAATGGATGTTCTGAGCTGCACGTTTTCACGCTCAATTAACCCCCGAGGTACAGACAGCGCACGCACGCACACACCCTCGGGTCTGGTGCTGGTTATTAAACAGAGATGGAGAGAAGAGGAAAGTGGAGGGCAAAGAAGAGGATGTTGTTAAGGCGGGGAACAGACTCCCGTCACATTATGGTTTGGTGTAAATCACGGGATAAATGGAGCATCATGGGACGTCGTGTGTGTGACCACAGACAGATGCTCTGCATTGTGACTCCATCAGATGGAAACTGTTCACCCCATCAGTCACTGTCTCTCTGTGGCTCTTTGAAAATAGGATCGTGTTGCACCAGCTCTCTGGACTGGCCCTTAACGGAGCCCAAACTCCTTCAGACTCCTGACTCTTTGAGGCCCCATCACACCAGCCTCCACAACAGAGAGCACTAACTGGATTCACCTGCTATAAAGCCACGCTCGAGTTAAACTTAGAGAGAGAGCCTCGTCAGTGATGTCAGCGCTCCCCCCTGCTGAGCTTTGGTTAGTCTGGAGCCCTGAATGACAGCAGATCTAATCTGGCGAGTTTTAAATATATTTAGTTAAAAAACAGGTAGCTCAAATCAAGCAATCTGATTGGTTCATAGCAGTGAGCGTATATAACGGGTGTGACGTCAACTTCCTTCGCACAGATCGTATCACTCCGCAACAAACTGGGTTCGAGTCATAATCTGAGTTTTTACACCTGGGATTAACCAGCGGCAAGCAGATTATCATATATTCAAGTTACCAAAGTCAATCTGCTGACGCGGGACAGTTTTTAGTGGCTGCACAATAAACGGCAATGTACAAATACATATAAATAAATATTCTAGCCTTTGATGTATGTTGCTTAGCGACCGTCATGCGCTGCGCAGCCTACCGGAGCCCGGTGGGACTACTTTTTGTATTCATAAAGAAACGTCTGTCGATGAAATAAACATATTATGGATATTTAACAGAAAAGTCCAAGTGCCCAGAGTTTCAATCAGGAGGCCGGTGTTCTTCACCCGTGGGAGTCCACACTGATTGGTTGTTACTTAAATCACATAAGTTGCCTAAACCTAACCAACTGACGTTTCACAACAATAAACGCTAGCTTTTAGTTTTTTATGTTTAACCGGACATTTTTATTCTGGGTAACTTGACCTCAGAGTCCTACACGTCGATATCGCGGCCGAGCCTGTAACGACAGCTACAGGTCGCTGCTGATATTCTGTTTTCAGCCTTTATTTGTCTCCGTTAAAAGCGGCTGAATCAGCTGTTAGCAGTTAGCATGGATGCACAGACCGACAGCCACGATGTTCGTGCTGTTTGCGTCGCTCTTATTCGCCTGAGTGACGTTGTGACAGGAGACAACACACCGGCTCCACGCTCACTACCGGCTGGTTATGGATGTCTCCCCGCTGGGGCCACAAACACACACACAGGTTAGAAGACAGATTACACAGTAAATACTCGGAGGAGGACAAACAGCTTCCTCCTGGTGGAAACACACTGAGATCCATCAAACCGCCCGAGCAGCAGAGTCCCTGTGGAGGTGTGTGTGTGTGTGTGTGTGTGAGTGTTTGTTTGGCCGCTGAGCAGGATAATGTGCTTTTAATGAGAAATATTTGTTTGTGTATCTGCAGGGAAATTCAACACGGGACCGTCCCAGCGGAGCGAGTCTCAGCAGGACATCAATAACTGTGCACCGACGCTCAGGAGGCCGCCGCTTCTTGGAAAACGTCATTTAACAAGTTGGTGTCAAAAACAGAAGTTTATGGGTCAGAGAGAGGACAGCTGTGTGTGTGTGTGTGTGCGCGCGCGCTAACCGGGAACAGCGATGCGTCCGGCTGTCGGATGGTTCATCTCCTGTATGAGGCCGTTGTGTTTCACCTGCAAGCAAACAAAGAAAGTATAAGTCTGGCGTTCATGTCGTTCATTTTGACTCAAACCAGCAGTTTCTCCTAACGAGTCCAGTGTGTCTCCTCCTCCTCTGAACCCTAGAAACCATTAAACCCATCAGTGAGCCTCACTGCCGCACTGGGTCACATGCCGCTTCATCACCATGAGCACACACTGCGGTTTCACACCGTCCTGCTGCCCCAGATACTCGCTGGAGCACCACATGACATGCACCGTTTGTCTGATCGAAACTACAGCGAGCAAAAGAATCACTGAGCCTTTTTAAACACGAGACTTTGCATCTGAGAGGAGTTCTTAAAGATTTAGGTCTTCGGGAGGAACCAGTTTGAAAAAGACAAGCTGGTGTGAAGTTTTTCAAATTAAAATGTTCAAATAAAAGCAACGCAAAGCAAATTTGATCTTATTTCCTCCAAAAGTCAGCGTTATTAGATACAGAAAGCAGCCGGAAAGACATTTAAATAAGGGAAGGTTGAGCGTGTCTGTCCAGAAAAAGTATAAATAAAAACTAAATGAAAAGACGAAAGATGGACACGTTGTAATTACTGGTACAATGCAAACTCTTTTTCAAAGACCTGCATGCCTCAGCAGAGTCACAGGATGTGGCCACTGATCCAGAGAATATCTCCTGCTGTCAGAAGTATCTGATCAGCTGATCTTCACAACACTAAAACAAACCGCAATAATACTTTTCCTCAAAATGACTCCAGCCGGAAACAAACAGAGGCAAAGAACCGTGCGTCTCTGCGAGCTGAAGACTTTATGAAGCCGCTTCGCGAACGCAGAGAGCCTGGAGTTTGCGGCGAGCTGAGAGAGCGGCCCGTGGATTCAGCCTGAACACGCCTTCAGTGCACGGAGAAGAATTGGAAACTTAAAGTTTGACCAGCAGACAGTTACGTAAGAAAACATGCAGACAGTCAGACAGTCGACACACATGCTCTCTCTCTCTCTGTGCAGTCAGGGGTGATGACGAGTTAAGTGGTTTCCTGCCGCTCTCGCCCCGCACGCATGGCTTCCTCTATAAATATGGAAGAACTCCGGCTGACGTCAGCGCCTCCTCTTCATCCTCCTCATCCCTCCATCTCTCAGAGCGAGGACAGATCAACCTCTTTCTGTTACTTCTGCTTCTTACAGATCCTCACTTGTGTCTCAAACATTTGGGCTTTGCACGTTCGGTCGGTCACAACGAAACGTTTGAAGACGTTGGACTCTGGGAATCTTTCAGTACTTTATGATTCAACAGGTAAACAGTTTCGCAGACAGACTCGGAGGTCATCTCTGGTTCACCGAGGTCAAACTCAAACACACAAATGTCTGAATCAGGACGTCTGACCGAGGTCGACATGCGGTGACATCAGAGTTGCCGGTGCTGGCTCTCCATTGGCTACTCTGGACGGTCAACTTGCTGAAACAGGAGGAACAAGAAGAGAAAGACTTCCAAAAATAATCCCACTCACAGTCTTTCTCCCGGTCGCGCTGACCTGCGCTCAGGTCTCAGTGACCTGGAAGTTTCTACAAGATCCACAAATCTTTTATCAGGGGAGCTAAAAAAAGGAGGACAGGAGGCAGCTGACGGACTGATGTGCTCGCCGTGTTACAGAAGCACCTGAATCATCAGGGACGGGACAGGAAATGAGATGGATTCAGAGATCAAACACAAGATGTCATGATGGTCCCGTCTCTCTGGGATTAATCATCTCAATAATCTACAAACCGACCTACACGTGCCTTTATTCAAATCACAGAAAATAATAATGAAGAGGATTCAACACACATCATGGGGTAAATCTCATGTAATAAGACACAAGCCTTTGGTGTGAGAGCCCCGGGTTCAATTCCCCCACTGCGTCCCTGAGCAACACTTAACCCCTCGGTGCTCCAGAGGCGTGCGACCTCTGACATACTTAAGTGTCAGCTAATGAATAAATGTAACAGCGTTCGACAGCTGCCACGCTCACCCCTACGCGGCAAAATAACAAAAGTATCCAGCGTGAACGTTTGCTGCTCTTCCCTGAACATCTTTGTGTGCATCAACAGCTTTGAAAAGCCTCTAGCTGCACACTTTAAGGTGTTGGTGGGGTCACCTGAGGAATGTGAGTCCAAGATTCTCTCTCTTAGCTCTGTCAGAAGACAAACAGGAAAAACTACATAAAAGTCAACAACGCCGGTCATTGTATGAGTGGAAATATGACAGTCTTGTGGAAAAAGCTGAGGGTGAGGGCGAAGCTGCAGGGTAAACGTGTGAATGGAAACTGAGCCTGGAACGTGGGCACATCTTTACTTTATGTTGGCTCAGATTCTGTTTCTATACGTGTTCATTTGTCCTCCTCTCTCTTCCTTTCTTACTGTTCTTTCACTCTTTCATTTGTCCTTTGTCACGTCCTGTTCTCCCTTTGCTTTTATCACGTGTTATTACAAGATTTGTGGAAGTTTCCCTCATGTCTTTCTTTCTCGTCTTAATCCGATTGTCCATGTTCCATTAAAAAACAAATTTGTCATTTTTAAGAACATCTGCAGATGGAAATAATCGATCCAACATTTCGGTTCAGAGTGAGACGCCAAGAGAGCACCGCGACCCCACAGAGGGTAAATATCTGGGACTGTAGCAGCCCCTGATATTTTAACCTTCCTTTGGTAACTCTGGATGAACCTTCACAGAATGACCTTTTCCATCACGAATGTAAATTCTCCGTACACTACATGTACACTACATCTGCATTCACACACATTCATACACTGACATCTTGCCCAAGGACACTTCGACACGCACCTTCCGATTAACGGCCAACCCGCTCTACCTCCTGAGCCACAGCCGCCCCACACACGATAGTTTTTACTCGGGAAACACCGAAATGAAAATTCTTGGCCAAAACCGCATAAAATGAAAATAGTTACTGGAAAACGAACAATAACATTCAAATTTTTTCCATTTATTTTGCCAACAGTCAAAATGTGTTGTTTCCTCAGTGTTTCCCTCAGGATGTGGAGAGACTACGGTGGGGGGGTCCTGGAGGTCCTGAGGGGCTCCGCTAAAGTAAATTACATGTGTCCATTTACTTTTAATGGACACATGTAACATGTTTTATACTTTCTGTGAATATAATCCAATTCATCTTATTTCCATCCTGTATAGACGCCTTATTTTGAAAACCGGACGTTGTCACATGTGTTTCCTCCTCGCGCTAAATCCATCCAGTCCGACCCGGTTTGATAAATAATGTAGTAACATGAAGACTTCACAGCCTCTCTTCATACTAAAGAGACAAACTGACAGGATAAAGTCTCTAACCTGCCTGGCAGCTCGCTCTGGGCCGCTTCACTTACCGTAAAGGCCGGAATACGTGTGCACTCCAACTTTAGGTGCAGCAAGCTTCATCTTCTCACAGACGAGTGACAGAAACACTCTAAGCGTTTCTTTTCTAAGAGGTCAGCCACAGATGGAGCGGATGTGCTGGGAGACAGAAAGAAACATTCGGCGCATCCCTAACTTTAACACACAGTTTGGAGACACAGTTATATAAATGTCCTGCTCTCCAGAGGATGAACCCTTTAGATTGTAATGAGTAGGGATGAGCGGGTACACCGTTAACGGTATGTGTACTCTGAATAGGCGGGGCTTAAACCTGACATGGGCGGGACTAGCCAGAAGTAAATATTTTAAGCTGGGTTGATCACATCTTGCTGTACTTATTAAAAAAACTATTTACAGAACAAGTTTCTATATTTATTGTTTATTAGAAAATGGATACGGACACATTTTACTCTGATGAGACTCATAAAAAGTACATTATCTGTAGGGGATCCTCGTTTCAGCTCGACTCCATGACCTCTCCTCCAGCGCCACCCTCAGGACAAACACCACTCTTCAGAGCTCTGAGACAGAGCGGCCGCAGTTTACAGGAGAAAAAAAACAAACCATACAAAAGGTAATTTTTACAGTGATACGATATATATCAAACTTCACCTCTGAGGAATGAAACCAAATGATTAAACACACACACACACACACACACACACACACACCTTTATCTCCAGGGGGGAAACTTTAATAAGAGCCCAACGCTGATTGATGCTTTAATTTAAACATCAAACATGACACACTGTGCAGGAAGTCAACCAGTGCTAAACCAATTACACCCTGTGTGTGTGCGTGACTGCTTGTACCTGCACACAGTACCAGTGTGTCTGTACACCCAACATGCTTTTACAATATAAAACCAGTAGCTCTGCTCATTTTGGAGCTCATAAAACAGAGCAGCTGCTGATGAAACCAGCTCATAATGTGTTTCTTTCTTTCTCTGGATGTTGCATATTTCCACGGAGTCAAAATGAAGCGAGGTCTCGTCCCGTTCTGCTGTGAGACGCACAAGACCAACCAATGATTTTACAGTTCGGAAACTTTGGTAAAAGTCGAGAAACACGTCAGGAAGGAAAACGCCGCCGCTGTTCACCCGGCTGAAGAGGGTTTGATTGCTTCATCAGGTGTTCTTTGTGTTTGCACCTGCGGTGTTTGGAGAAGTCAGAAGAGACGATGAACCCGCTCTAAGTTTAGCTGAGAGTCGTTTAAGAAACGTCTCCAGAACAAACGGCGCCTGAAACGAACTCGCCGTGCACAGATGGCGTTGAAATGAATATTTCAAATTTCAAAGGAAATGGCTCCTCCCTTCTGATATACAGTATATGTGCGTGCGTGCGGGTGTAACAGTATGATTGCATGCATGTGTGTGTGAAATCCTATCTGCTTGTTATGCAGGGTATCATTACAGCCACATGGTCATCACTCTCTCTCTCTCTCTCTCTCTCACACACACGGTCAAACACATTGCTGAACTTCATGTTTTATTCCCCCCCCCCACAAATAAAAAGAAAGAATTAAACTGACAAATATCTTGTGAATGACAAACAAAAGAACGCGTTGTGAGGATGTTTTCCGTCACACTTTAATGAGCACATCATGTTGGATTGCAGTCACTTCGCTATAATCCCCTGAAACCACCGGTTACTGTGAGAATATGATTTGTGGTGGCGTCTGTGCTTTATTAAAGCAGCCGACTGATATCTGTGGAAGAGCTCCTGTTCTCAGAGAGCAGCAGCAGGGAAACTGCTGAGCAAGCTCCAATAAAAGAGAAACAAATCCACCCCAAAGCCGCCTGAGTGTCTTTGTGTGTGCAGACAGAAGGTACTAACAGTGTGTGCTGCTTCTACAGTTGCTCTGGAAGTTTGCAAGGTCACGTGAACATGCGATTGTATTTTTTATTTCTATATTTATACCAAAGTACGGGGAAAAATAATAATTTTTTATAGTTGCATTTTTTAGCCACGGCTGGATCTCGGTCCAGACAGAAACTCTTCCACATGCCAAAGTTTCCACTGCACACCACAAAGGCTTTGTGAAACAACAAAGACCTTTTGTTTAGGAAGGAATTTGTTCCTGTTATTGTGTTCTGCACACTTTGATTCACTTGGACAGTTTGTTGTGTTTCTAGCCGTGTTTCCAGCCGTGCTGTATTTCAACATTACAAAAAGGACAGTTTTATGAAAATTGATGACGAATTAAAAATGTGCTCAAACGTTTTTGGAGTTGAGCGCCGGTGGAATTAGCTAGCGAGTCAGCCGCCCGCTCTATAGACCGTATATTACTGGACGAAGCCCCCCCCCCCGCGGGTTTGAATGGAGAGCAGCGAAGCCAGTCTTGGTCCTTTGAAATACCCTGTATGCACTATAAATGTAACCCTGCATGAGACATCTGGCTCACGGTGGACAGAAAACTCTCAGCTTGTGAAACTTGTAGTAGTAGTGCTGTTGCTTTATTATTTTAAACAGAAATTACATCGTTAGTGTACAGTTGCAGTTACAGAACTTGTATTTTATTTGATATAATTCTTATTTTTGCGCATGTGAGTGATAAATTGCTAATGTTAGCATGCTAACACGCTAAACTAGGATGGTGAATAAACATTATACCAGCTCAACATCAGCATGTTAGCATTTAGCTCAAGGCGCTGCCTCACACAGCTGCTGGCCTGTAAGTCTGTATATAGTTGTATATTTTATCATTTGTTTTTCTGACAACCAAGTAAACAAACCAGCATGTCAGCTGAGAGAAGTCCTCTCTCTCTCTCTCTCCGTCTGTAGAGTGTGTTGAAGTTTGGCTTTTCTTTACTTTCCCTGCATGTCATGTAGAAACGTTTCAATAACGAACATCAAACAGACACACACTCTGCTGCAGTGTGTGTTGGAACACATGGTGTGTGTTTGACTCTGGTCTAAATGTTATTGATCTGCGGCTGCACGGCTTATAGCTTCACCTGCCACGTGTGTGCGCGCCATGTGTGTTTTGCCGGCAGTGGTTGAAAAGGAAAAAGCCTGATGAATCTAGCACCACAGAGAGAGAGAGAGTCTCTGTAGGCAGTTACCAGGCCGGATCAAAAGACACACACTGATCACAGAGCAGTTCTGTGGTTTCCAGCCACGTGCCTCCTCTTCCTCCTCACTTCCTGTTCCCCTTATTTCCTCTAACCTCAATCTCTCTGCACCTCCAGAGTCCAGCCTCTGAGAAAGACGATCGGCAGTGAGCTGAACCTAAAGAAGATCTAAAGAAGAATCAGGTGACAGAGTTTAGTCTTTCTGAATCTACACTGAACAACATTATAAACTCAACACTTTTGTTTTTGCCCCCATTCATCATGAGCTGAACTCAAAGATCTAAAACTTTCTCCATGTACACAAAAGGCCTATTTCTCTCAAATATTGTTCAGAAATCTGTCAAAATCTGTGTTAGTGAGCTCTTCTCCTTTGCCGAGATAATCCATCCACCTCACAGGTGTGGCATATCAAGATGCTGATCAGACAGCATGGAGATTGCACAGGTGAGCCTTAGGCTGGCCACGATAAGAGGCCTTAGGCTGGCCACGATAAAAGGCCATAGGCTGGCCACGATAAAAGGCCATAGGCTGGCCACGATAAAAGGCCTTAGGCTGGCCACGATAAAAGGCCATAGGCTGGCCACGATAAAAGGCCTTAGGCTGGCCACAATAAGAGACCTTAGGCTGGCCACGATAAAAGGCCTTAGGCTGGCCACGATAAAAGGCCATAGGCTGGCCACAATAAGAGGCCTTAGGCTGGCCACAATAAGAGGCCTTAGGCTGGCCACAATAAAAGGCCATAGGCTGGCCACAATAAAAGGCCAATCCAAAATGTGCAGTTTCAGTCTGTATTGGGGGGTAAAAACAATAGTGTTGCGTATATAATTTTGTTCAGTGTAATTCAGCCGATTCCACTAGTTTGAATCTCATTGTAAAGGCATCACATTGGGAGGGGAAGATACAAAAAGTGACAAAGCGTAGTTACAGTCTCGCAAAGACGCTGAAGGGCACCTTTAGCGTAAAATAATTACGCTTTGCCACGCTGTCTGAAAGCGTTGGTAATGAGAACGCGCTGATTGTGCTTTATCCACACAACTGCATAAATAAGTAGATAATCAGGAAACTGTTTCTGGTTTTGAATTTAATTTGATGTCAACACCTTGGACGCAGCCAGAGGCTCACACAGAGGGTATCTACAACTCTTTACACCGCCTTTTGACCAATCAGAAGTCAAGCTCTGAGTACAGGAAATTCATTAGGGCTATAAAACCAAAGTCAATCATCATAAATGACCTTCATCACTGCACAATAAACGTCCCTGTGACTCCCGTCCTCCCTTCATTAACTTCTCCGTCACTGAGGCCGACTTAGACGATGACTTCTTCACCCTCGTGTTTGTCTCTGCTCCTCCAGCTCTTTTTTTTACGCCTCCTCTCTCTCTCCCACCACCACTCTTTACTCTTTCTACTCTCGGAGTCTTTGAAGCTTGCTGTGGCAGTCCATTAAGTCGACTAACCAGCACCCATGGGAGTCATCCAGGCCCGCTGTTACATCGTGTTACTGCAACATCAAGGAGAGGAGGGTGGAGTGTGTGAGCAGCAGGATGTATGTAGAGTTGTGTATATGTGTGTGTGATAATGTGTGTGTCTCTGTCTGTGTGAAGATCTGATGTAGCCTGAACCTGCTGCTCTCTGTTTGACCTCGACAATCAAAGCCGCTTCTGAATATCGCAGGGTTTTCATTCCTGTGAAGTGTCAGTTTTTTCTCCCGTATACGGGCTCGTATGAGCACTTAACAGGATTTTTAGATGTGTTACATAAAGCTGCAGCCTGAATGTTAAAGGTCCCAGATGATGATTTCAGATCATGACATGAATAATGCTCTTCATCGTGTTTAAGTTGGAGAAATGTTTATTTCTAACTTTGAAGAGTAAAGCAGACTTCCTGTTCAAACACATCAGATATTCATTATTCATATCCCATAAAAAAAGTGACAGTTTACAAAGTATTTATGTTTGTAAAACGCTCAAAGTGTTTTAAATTACAGTTCGGCTAACTTACTTTGGATAAAGAGACGGTTTCATCTCAATGTCACCTTTGAGCAACAAGTGCAGAGGCCATGAAAGCTTAATTCACACCCTAGCTATGCATGTTATACGCTCCTGCTTAGGAATCTAAGTACTCGACAGAGATATCACCAGGAGATAACAAGAACTGTCACTGGTAAGCGTGAGCTGCTTGTGAAATGTCCAACAAGTCTCTGATGGAGGTGGAGACAACATGTCCTTTTCAGTAACACACCTAACAAAGACATCTCCTCTGCAGACCTTCTGCTCTCCGTGATCACTGGACCAACTATAAGGACTTGCTCAAGAATCTTCCAGTTTGGGTAAGCAGTTCGAGCCCCAGCGTCTCCTGCCCACATCCTGAACTGTACTTGAAGAACATGAACCCGAATTTGCCTCCTGATGGTCAGCAGGTTTCACAGTAGCTCGCTGCCGTCAGTGTGTGTAAACGCACACAAGCGCTATTTAAATAAAGGCTTTTACCATTTGGAGTGACTCTTCCTGGTCTGAAGAGGGCTTTATGGTCCATCTATGTGAGATAATCATGGAGGACGCTTCTGCAAGGTGAGCTTCCACTGAAGGATCCAAAAAATGAAGTGAAGTGGCTTCAAGGAATCTTGGAAAGAGAAAGAAAATCCCCAACTTCAGTCTAAAAACATCCAGGGTCGGGTCTCAGCAGACAATTTCACTCATGAGAGTTTGCAGATTGTTTTTAGAAACATCATCATATTAAGAGGATATCAAGGATTAAAGGGGTTGTGTTTGGTGGTTTAGTTATTGACAGCCGTTTCTCTGTTGCTCCGCCCATTTCAGTTCCACCTCCACGCCGTTTCCCAGATTAGGATGTCCAGCGTGCAGTTAGTAACAAAGATGGCGGTGAAGACTCCTCACTTCCACCCTTTAGGAAGCTGGTAGGTGACCTGACAGAAAACTCAGAACTTGATGCAGGGCAGTTTTCCGACTCTGTGGAGGTACAGCAGAGGGGTGATGAACACGCTGACGATGTTGATGGACAGGCTGACTAATGTGACCTGCAGAACGGCCTGCTGGGACGCATACAGCACTGTTGGACCCAGGATGAAGACTTGGAGGAACTGGGTGGTGCTGGTGAACACCAGGGTGATCATGATGACCTTGAAGGCCTTTCTCTTTATGCTGTTCCGGCTCTCGCGGTCCCCGTCGCCATCGCCTGGCCCCGGCTGTTTCAGCACGCAGAGAACACGGACGCCGCAGTATAACATGACCACCAAGAAGAACAGGGACTTGGAGATGAGTGCGTATGATAAATGAATGGTTGAAAGGTGGAAGGCAGGTATGACGCAGTACAGCAGCATCAGCAGCCAGTCGACCACGCACCATGCTAACCTGTACCGGAGAGGTTTGAGCCTGTGGAGAGGGAAAATAAGACGTGACAGATCATCTCAGTGAGCACACGAAGCTCTGCTAATTTAAAAGATGCTGTCAATGCTCATAAAAGCTGCTATTCAAATTATGGCACAGTCTCAAATAACAGAAGTTATCACTATAGAAAGGTTTTTCATTTCAAACGCATAAAAATAAAAAGGCCGAAAGACATTCAATGTAAAAAAGACACGTTGGCTTCACCGCCGAGCTGTTTCATCCTTATTTTAGCCACTTTCACAGTTATCTTAATAGTATATACAGTTCGTTTGTGTATACATTGTTATTCCATGCATTATTCTGATTCACCTCAGTGTTTTCAGAAAGCGAGCTAGCTTAGCCAGTCAACTAGCCTAGCTAGCTACTGAAATGAATTATAATTTTGTTGTGATGATACGTTTCAAAGGAGACAAGCATCTAGTGCAGATTTATGTCTGTGGTGTCACTAACAGAGGCTTCAGTCTGTAAATCCACACACTGATAAAGCCCAGAGGTGCAGAGTTACAACAGGCCGACCGGTGACCTCCTTTAAATTAAAGTGACACTTTGGTCACTGGTTACTTCTTGCTCACACATCATACCTTCGCCTGGTGAACGGAAGATAAAATGACTAAAATGCAGTGCGAATGAGTTACCTGAGGAAGACCACTGGATGCACCACAGCCAGGTAACGCTCCACGCAGATGCAGCTCTGGAAGGTGGGTCGAGAAATGAACATGAACTGTGACATACACTCCAGCACCACTGTGCCGACGTCCGCTGGCATCCCGAGCAGGAAGTGAATCATGAAGTAAAAAGACCAGATGCAAAAGAGGATCTCAGAGATGGCCAGACTGAAAGCAAAGATCTCTGAGGCCAACGTCCTGCCTGCTCCGCCGGCTATATGCCACACCACGTAAACGTTGGCAGGCAGACCCACCAACAGGTTGCAGGCGAGCAGAGCTGTTACTCCGTGATAGAAAGTACGGAAGTCAGGCGTGAAGGTGTCGTTGGCTTCAGACAGATTCATCTTCACCCAGCTCTTTAACTGTAGTAACAGAGTTTTCTGGAGTCTGCAAAAGTAAAACAAGAGAAGTTGTTTAAGATGAATGGCTTAAATGGGAAAGTACAGATCACAGTGACTGGTCGCTCTCTGCCCCTGAATGCTACCAACATGAGGACAATCCAACGTTGGAATATCAAATTAGCTTAAATTAAACGTTCAGTTAACATTTCAGATGGTGAAAATGTTTTAATTATGACTGATGGGCATCGTGGAGTGCAGTAGACAACTATGTTGCAGAGAATCGCCGTAGAATTAACCAAACATGCCGTACAGAAGTAAAACATGTCGACTCTGGGAATGAGGAAAAGGTCTTTTTCTGACATTCTGCCGTCAGGATGCTGCTGGTGAACAAACAACGCATGTGAGCCTACATTTTAATAGACAAGTTTCTGTTGTTTTTCCAAGTTTGTTCTTCTTTTCTGCCAGAGAATTAGGACATAAATCTATGGCACACTTTACCTCATTAACATAGTTTAAAATTAATATGACACAATTCATTTTGCCAGCTAGTATCATAAATGTCGCTCACTGTACCAGACCGGATAATAAACTCTGAAGCTGATGTTGAGCCATTCGGTTTCTCTTCACTGATGCTGCTGCTGGAGAGGTGAGTGAGTAATTCAGGGAACTCACCGGGAGACTCCTGATTTATTTTAGACAGTTTTGGACGTTTGACTTCTTTTTTCAATGAATCAGAGTTTGATTGTATTCAGCATCATTCAGTTAACTACTCACGACCCGCTGTCCTGTTTGTATATGAAAGGAAGATCAATAGAGCTGCCTCATTATTGCATTTAGAAGCCAATGATTATTGACATGACAGCCACTCATTCACTAAGTTTAGTCAGAGAGGGATCCTCTAAATAGAGATAAAATCCTTTATGTCTCCCACACCTCCATCACACATGTTGTGTGTTTCCAGGCTGGTGTTGCATCTAAACAACATCCTCTCTCGGTTTTGCATTCAAGAGAATCTCCTGTTTGTAATTTGGCCTGTTTTGTTTCTTGACTGTTTTACCACAAGCTCATTTTAAACGAGACCCACCTGTGGATTTGCATGGAGGGCAGCGAGTGGAGTCGAGGCTTACATCTGGTGTATTCAAAACAAGCTGAGGGGAGAGACGGATATGGTTTGGCTCTGGACTGAGGGTACGGCCACATTTGCATTGGATTTTCCTCAAAATGTAATTTGTCAGAGGAATTTTACCAACAGAGCGGCAGCTGGGGCAGGACGAGGAGATTTATCTGGGCTCAGGTCAGCTATGCAAACTATTTTACTCTCTGCTGCACGGGTTAGCTGGTCCTCCTGCCTCAGGCTGTCTGTTTTGTGTCTTTATGCAGATGACACTCATTTTTTAATGTGCGGAAACAGATCAAACGTGCTCTTCACTAACAAGTTGTTTTACGTTTCACACTAGGTGCTGAATCCATGCAAAATTCATTTTATACTTTGTCACTACTTCTTTAAAATACCCTGTGCGATGTTCATCTACCCTTCATTTTAAACAGCCAGGCTCAATGTGTTTTGGTGGAGGTTTGGTGAAGTCTATCAATAAGAAGGAAAAACATACAGCTTAACATAAAATGAACAGGTTAATATTAGTAATGTTACTCCTAGTTTTAATTTCTACAGTTGTGTCTGTTTTATCATACTGTAGTTTTCAAATGTTTTATTTACAACAAGGTAAAGTTTTAAAGGTTTGTTCTGAAATGTGCTGCATGAATAAAACATTATTATCTTGTTAATAGTTCTTAAATTTAATCTTTAACAGACTGAACTGGGCCGGTCCCCGTTTAAATCTGCTGACCCAATTATCAAAGTGAAGCTCAGAAAAAACTTTCCTGGAAAGTGGAGAATTACCAGGAACCCAAACCGGCTGTTGACATAAGGACACAGTGGCAACATTATCTCTTGTCCTGGTTTGTGTTGTGCGACCTACTGCACATGCTCATTAGTGCCCATGGGTGTCATTTACACTGGGTCCTCACCGCTTCTTGAAATGGCTGATTTTGTCCTCATTGCTTTTAAAAATAAATTGTTTAATATGTTAAATAAGTTAATATGCTTTGAGAAACGTTTAGCCTATATGCACAATAGGAAAAGATGCACTGTCCTGATTATAAAATGACCCCAAACTAAATCATGGCTGCATGTGTCCTGACTCAGCAGGGACGATACTAAATGAAAACCTGCAGGAGGAACATATCTGAAAGTCTGAGAGTCTTACTGCATTATATTCCAAAATATTCTCGCCTGCCGCCTGAATTTTATCTTTCCCTTTACATGCTTTAAAACATTTCCACCATAAAATGCAGAAAAGGCAGAAATTGGTGCAGGAAATTAAGGCATTGAAGTTTTCTTCAAAATTGTGTAGAATCATCTTCTCGTCTGTTTTCTCGTGAACCCAATATCGTGGTTCCTGATCTCGGTCACACACCTAGTCTGAGTCCGTTTGTCGCCACCACTTCTCTAAAAAGTTACGCCCTTGTCAGTTCCTCTTTCTCTGGCCCTGCCTGATGGTCACATACACTGGAATGACACCATGAACATCTAGGCTCTGAAAAGGTTTTACAAACATCAAACCTGCATGGATTTAAAATTCACACAAACATGCAGTCAAAGGTTTAACACAAGTTTCATTAGCAACAGTCAGGGGGGCAGAGATTCCTCAAAGTCTGGACAAGTAAAGCCCCAACCTTTCTGATGGCAAAGATCCCTCTACAGTCACTGCGCAACACAAAGCTTTGTTTGGAGTGAAACTCATTCATGATAAACATCCGACTTACGTTTGTGTGCCGAGTTTGAAGCTGAGTAAATGTTTTAAAGCCGCCGTGTGTGAGTCCAGCCTCCCTTCAGCTCCTCTTCCACCTGCAGCATCTCAGTAAATAAGCATCATGGGGCTGTTTGTTCTGGTCACTGATGATCATCCGTCTACCAGCCACGTGGCGATAAGACCGGAGACACCTCCTCCTCTGCTTCATTTGCATGCGGAGGCTGTTTAGTTAAACCAGGAGCACATTAACCGGCTCAGATGAGCTTCTGGTTGTTACATAAATATATATACACATCAAAATAAATGTAGTGAGGGGCATCATTTAATTCCCTTTAGCTGAATCTTTCTGGTTCCTGAACCAGTTCGGGAAACTATTTCAGTTTACAAGCTAGCAAGCGTGCCAGTCTGAAAACTGGCCAGCATACTTGCTAGCTAGACAACCTCAATGGCTCATCTCTCAGTTTGCTGACTAATTAAAACAAGGGAAGAATATATTGCCACTAAATGAGACAGTAACTATCCCTTAGATAGCGTATTTTTAATAGCAACGATGACCCTGTTGAAAATGTATCGTATTAAACACTTTAAAAAGGTCAGATTCTGCTAATTTTCAGGTTGATAATTTTATTTCAGGTTTGTTCCAGAACAGGTTTACACGGTTTTCATAATAATCACTAGTTTTGTCATCCTGCACGTTGCTGCAGCTCCTTTTTTCACCGTGTCTTGGTTTTAGCTAACGAGTGAAGCATCTCACTTCTACTGGATCTCTGTTGGGAGTTGCACATGCACATTACCTAGGTAAGGACTACTAGCCAATCAGAAGCGGAGTAGGGTGGGTTTGGCACAAGCACGGTAGCGTGATCCAAAATAAAGCCATTTCAGCCGGTAACCGCGGCTTCGGTTGTGCCGTGCACGTTCGTTCTCTTTCTCAGAATCATAACTTTTAACTCAAGTCGTACATATACTGCTGGAATCTGTGCTACTTACATTTTCTGCTGAAGTCTCTGACGTCCGTCCATCAATCAGCCTGGAAATCCTTTTTTAAAAAAGACGCTGTTCCTGTAGCGACAGGTGCTGTGATGCAGGTTCAAGGTGAAGCCCACACCATTACTTCATAAAGTCAGTGGACTCCAGATTCATATTTAATCAACATTTCATTTCATCTTCTGCAGCTCAGCTCAGTTTCAGGTTGGAGTCAACATTAATGACACAAACAAACGAACACTTTCAGCCTTCTCACACATCAGGAGATGATCACAGACCGCTCGTGACCAAGTTATTCATGGGTCCATAAGGATTTAGGATTTGATCAAACATGAGGTCAGTACATCACTGAACATCCTCAACGACACAATAAATTCTGCTTGGACAGTTTCTCTGGTGTCCAGTTTCCCGTAATGTCTCTGTAGAGGACAGATGACCCCAAAAAATACTTCAATAACAATAAGAAGAATAATCCTCAGTTTAAAAGTACATCTGGTGGTTTAGTGGTTAAGACACAAACCGCGTAACCCCCATGTCCCTGGTTTTATTCTAGCTGGGGACCTTTGTAGAATATCATAACCCCCCCCCCCGTTTCATGTTTCTATCAAATATGGGCCAAACATCCCAAACATTTTCAAGTTCAGTATCAAAGTTCACCAAACACCCACATTAACGAGACTAAGAGTCTACAGCCAGACCATCTTCCTTTCGCATGCTAGTGTTCTAGCTTGTGCTAATTAGCGCAAACACAAAGTACAGCTGAGGCTCATGGGAATGTCGTTGGTTCTGCGGGTATTTTGTCATAAACATGGACTGTGTAAAAGAAGGGGGGCGTAGTCAGGGTGACGTCACCCCATGTTTTGTGGACTGGCGTTTTCTATCCTTGAGTTTCAGCTGTCGCCATCTTGGACTGATGGAACCAGAAGGACGAGAGGGCGGAGCTGGGGGGTCGCATTGTTACGGCCTGACAGGTCACCTTGTAGCCCCGCCCTAAAGCCTCCCCTGCTTCCTGGTCTCTGTTCCTCTAAACGGGACCATAATTTACTAAATGAACATCACGCCGTGTTGAAGAAGACTTGAAACTAGCGACTGAGACCAGAAACTCATCAGGAAAGTGTTTACTGAGGGAATAAATCGGCTTGTCAGACCTGATGGTGGCGCTTGATGAAAACGTCGAGGACATTTAGAATTGAATAAAAGTGTTTGGAGCTTTAAAAGCTTTAAAAGTGTGCACGCACGCACACATATGCACACGTGTGTTATTGTGAGTGTGTTTGAGTTAGTATGAAGTGGAAAGTTTGGCACGTGGAATGTGTGTTTTGGATCGAAGAGTTGCCCATATGGAGAAGAACTGTGTGTTTGTGTATTACTGTATGTGTGTATGAGTGTTGGTAAGAGCAGCTGTGTTCCAGGTGTGGAGCAGGACAGTAACCTCCTGTCAGCAGGGAGCTGTTCAGGAGCACTGTAAACTCCCACTGATGAAAACAGCCAAATATGATTTCATAGTGTGAGTGGAGGTTTCAGTCCCAAACCTCTGAGAGTGAAGGTGACTCTGACAGTTTCAACATGGCTGGTTAGATGAGCCCCGAGGAACGACAGAGATAGATGATGCTCAGATCTCATCAGGGATTAACTGATGTCATTACCCCCCCCGCTCAGCCTGACTCATCTACTTCGACCGCTGCTTTTTATTCCCAACATCTCCGGCATCCATAGACGTGGAACCTCTGCTGGTTAAAGGCGTGGGCTGAGTTAGACTTTCTCGTTGTCCGCCATTTTGACAAACAGCGTTGTAAATAAACCCCTCATCATCCGGTATTACCCGTCATTTTAATTTTGGTGTTTTCATGATAACGAGAAAGGTTTTTCCCACATAGAGGCGTTCGCTACCGGCTTTCGCCAAAAATCTGACGGGTGCCTTCACGGTAAACACTATTTTCTAGCAAGACTAATAGACAACAGCTAATTAATATGCACGCTGCCACCAGCTGGACGGGGGGTCTACATGTGGTTATTGACAGCGTTACTGAACGTCACGGTAGATCGCCCTCGGTCTTAATCTGTCAAAATGACGGATGGCCTAACAAATCTTTTGGTCAGTGATGGAGAATATCACGCGACCCCTGGGTGTAGGTGGAGAGACGGAAAGATATAAAGAGGAATATCTGCTGAAATCACATTTACCCTTGGGTAGATGTCCTGTTATTTGTGTACAAAGCTTTATGCAACCAAGCACCTAGCTACCTAACTGAACTGCTACAACCGTATACTCCATCGAGAAGTCTCAGATCAGGCGAACAAAATCTGTTACAAGTCCCTCACTGCAGACTTAAACGCAGAGGGGATCGAGCTTTTTCTGTGGTTGGGCCTCGGCTGTGGAACAATTTGCCCTTAGACGTTAGGATAGCCCCTTCTGTGATCTCTTTTAAGTCACTTTTAAAAACGCACTTGTTTTCTTTGGCCTATAATTAAGGTTGTTTATGTATGAGTATCTTTGTATATACATATACCTATATGTATATGTGTGTGTGTGTGTATGTTTATATGTCCTTTCTGTCTGATGTGCTGCTATGCATGGTGTTAGTGTCTTTTAATTTTGTTGTTCTGTAAAGCACTTTGGTCAGTCATTGGCTGCTATAAAATGTGCTATATAAATAAAAATGAACTTGAACTTGAACTTGAACAAAGGGACGTACAGATGAGGTAGACGAGTGAGGTCAAGAGTTTTGGTAACTTGTTCCATCTGATTGAGATTCACCTCCTCGCAGTTACACAAGGACTAGTCGTCATTCATTTGTGGCCCCTCCAGCGCCACCAGGAGGAAATTCTTCTACACGATTGAGCTGTATGTTTCTGAATGAATAAATATAATTTAGCCAGTATGCACACGTTTCCCCCACCAAAGTGTCTAAAAAAGAAATGTTGATCATCTACAACTGTATTCTACATTCACAATTCCAGGATTTTAAATTCTGCCTGCAAACATTTAAATACCTTAAAATCTGAAGCCAACATTCAGACAGAGAGGTGGATATGAATTTAAAATAGAAAGGTGAGAGAACAATAAAATGAAAGACAGAGAAATACGAATAAGAGTCAGAAACAAAAACAGCACAGACAGAAGGAAAAGAGATAAAACTCGAAATGCATGAACACCACAAGAGAAATCCAAGCTGTTGGACCATGGAGGTCATGTACGGTCAATGTGTTGGCCGGGGGGCCAAACGAGGGCCAGTGGATCAATGGAGGTGAGAGGTCTTTGATGCAGATCCCTGCTCGCAGACGAGTACGCTGAGATGGAAGTGATGAACTCGGAAAGTCGGCGTGATCCCAGATTTATGGAGGATAAAGCTGGTTTACAAGTGTTCAGAGGTCAGACTGATTTATTAAGAGGGTTCGACTCCCAATCACGTCTAACGTTCTACAGAAAGCACGGCATGAAACCCTTCTGCGGGGTCATCAGAAACAAAGCACAGGCGAGTGTCCAAGAACAGCCGGATGATCCTGATGCTGCTTTCTTGTCCGCAAACTACAATACCAGCCAACAAATAGCCGTCTGTCAGCTGGAGTGTTTGGGCAGCAATATGTTGCTCAGTGGAGAGGAAAACGTCCAACCACACACTCAGAAACTCTCTGTAACTTCATCTGCAGCTGACCTGGAGTCTGACGTTAACACCAGCCCAACGCCAAATACGACTAAACTGAACGTAAACTCTTTACTGAAGGTGCAATAAAAGCTTTCATGTATCTGATGTGAGGTATTTAAAATATGTTTTATAATCAGAGGAGCTGCTTAATGAGGCAGCTCTCACACACACAGGGAGGAGGCGTGAAGAACTACCAAATATCCAACATCCCTCACCCATGTTGTGTAAAAGTCTCAATAACACTGACTGGCTCGTGACCAATCACAGCTCTCCGACTGGACAAATTATGAATCAGCAACAACAAAAATATAGTTTGTATGATGGAAAAGATGGAATAGGGAGACGGGGGGAGGAAACAAGTAGAGGAGCTATATCAAAGTGGATTTTTATGAATGAACCAAAGCTGTAAAGGTCTATTGCAACAGAAAATGAGTCTCAGAGATCTTGGCTCCGTTTCCCTCGGCTGCAGAAGTTTCCGGAATACAGACAAATCCCTGCTATGCTCCAGTTGTTTCAACCTGTGGCTGTGCAGGTGTGTGTGACGGTCAGCTGCTCATCCTTTTTGAGTCCAGAAGAAGCAAAGTTCATCTCCCGTTCAGTTTGTTTCCTGGTTAAGAGGAACCAGAAGGAAGTCTGTCAACGGCTTCCTTCGTCTTCTACTGTCTCGTTTGCACGCCATCATCAACAGCAGGCAGCTGTTTTCTAACAAAGCCAATCAGTAAAATTAAGTTAGATGAGTATATGTACTGTGTTTCTTCTACCTGCATCCAACCTTAGATTACAGTGACTGGACCTTTGTTGAATTTGTCTTATGCCAGGTTCATAGATGGGGAATGACTGAACCATGTAACTTCACTTTATTAAACATTAAGACCTTTACATCTAGCTTGATTAATGGATTTAAACAAGTTCACAGTATTTTTAGTACTCCGTCTGAGGATGTGAACACCTGAAAGTCTTCCCTCTCTGTTTAACATAAAGACGTCATCGTTAGCCTTCTGGTTGACCATGAAGTGGTCGTTCGATGTAAACGTGCTGCTTAATGAGCGACACGTGACATCACCAGCCGGTCAAATCTAAATGACTGATCCAAACACTTCAGTCTGTCTCCTCTCCGTCTGTTGTTTGATGTGTTTTGGTATTTTAGCTCATTAGCAGCTGGCCTCATCCAGTTATATGAAACACATTTCAGCTCCTGAAAATGTCCAAAAATAACATCTGAAATACCAGCGGCTGTCCACATATTTGCTCGCTTTCTTCCTGCCTGCTTTTGTTTGAGACTGTCCACCGCTGATTATTATCCGTTGGTTTATCTCGGGTGTCACAGTTTAATTGGACCCCCCCCCCTTCTGTCCCCATGGGAAAGTATGCAGACACATTTTGATTTGATTATGGCTCAAAAACCAAAATATGCTCAGTCGCATTCCAGCTTCAACAAACAGCCGATCTGAGTAAACAGCAGAGCAAGGCAGCGGACACGGCCGGGGTCGAGGGTTCGATTCCCTCTGGAGTCACTTCACACATGTTCTGTCAGATATTTTACCTCCAGCGGGTTCTGACGGTTCTGTTTAATTTTTTAAGAACACATGTGGAAGGTTTTCTACCCTCAGTAGAACACTGATTATTTGACTTCACATGTGTCTGACTGTCGAACTCTTAAATTCACCTCCTTCACTCTCTCCATCGTCTGTCCTCCTCTCACAGTAGAAGTGGAGGACAGGTTCCCTAACCTCTACAGGCAGGAACAGTCACTGCAGAAAACTGTATGTTGTCCATTCAGAGTGTTAGCACTGCGCTGTTTAGCAATCTACAACATAATAGACAATGTTAAGCCACCTGTGCAGAGGAGAAGCGTTGTGGTTTTACGTGCAGAACTACACTGAACAAAATTATAATATATTATTAATATAAAAGCAACACTTTTGTTTTTGCCCCCATTCATCATGAGCTGAACTCAAAGATCTAAGACTTTCTCTATGTACACAAAAGGCCTGTTTCTCTCAAATATTGTTCAGAAATCTGTCAAAATCTGTGTTAGTGAGCACTTCTCCTTTGCCGAGATAATCCATCCACCTCACAGGTGTGGCAGATCAAGATGCTGATCAGACATCATGGGGATTGCACAGGTGTGCCTTAGGCTGGTCACAATAAAAGGCCTTAGGCTGGCCACGATAAAAGGCCACTTCAAAATGTGCAGTTTCAATGTATTGGCTGTAAACCAGTCAGTATCTGGTGTGACCACCATTTGCCTCACGCAATGCGACACATCTCCTTCTCATAGAGCTGATCAGGTTGTTGATTGTGGCCTGTGGAACGTTGGCACGATGTCTCAGGTTTTGAGGGAGCGTGCAATTGGCATGCTGACTGCAGGAATGTCCACCAGAGCTGTTGTCCGTGAACTGAATGTTCATTTCTCTACCATAAGCCGTCTCCAAAGGCGTCTCAGAGAATTTGGCAGTACATCCAACCCGCCCCACAACCGCAGACCACGTGTGTAACCACACCAGCCCAGGACCTCCACATCCAGCATCTTCACCTCCAAGATGGTCTGAGACCAGCCACCAGGACAGCTGCTGCAACAATCGGCTTGTATAACCAAAACATTTCTGCACAAACTTTCAGCAACCGTCTCAGGGAAGCTCATCTGCATGCTCGTCGTCCTCATCGCGGTCTCGACCTGACTACAACTTCACACAGCCATTGAAGAGGAGTGGACCAACACTCCACAGGGCACAATCAACAACCTGATCAACTCTATGATGAGAAGGAGATTTGTTGCACTGCGTTAGGCAAATGGTGGTCACACCAGATACTGACTGATTTCTGGACCCCCCAATACAGGCCTTTTATTGTGGCCAGCATAAGTCCTTTTATTATGGCCAGCATAAGGCACACCTGTGCAGTACCCATGCTGTCTGCTCAGCATCTTGATATGCTACACCTGTGAGGTGGATGGATTATCTGCGTCTTCTACCCATCTGAGGATCCATACTTTCTGTTTTTCTTCTTACTTTCTGTTTGGAGCCGAACATTTTTGAGGATGCAGCTGTCGTTTGAACAAACTTCACGAGAACTGTCACTGGAACAAACTGAACGGAGGTTGAGTGTGAGCTCACCATCGCAGCTGGATGATTGATCGGTACAGTGTGAGAATGAAAGGTTGCAGGTTCTGGGCAGATTAAAGCATTTAGCGTGAGTCAACACAACGTACAAGATTAATCCAAACACAGAGTCTGTTTACACTGAACATGTTGTAGCCCTGTTGTTAACACAGGTGTCTGTACTGACTTGCACTTTGTAACCTGAAGCGTCCTTACATTTATGGACAGGGGTGTCTACATACTGTCGTGTATCTGAGTGTGTCGACTATGTTTGGCCAGTTCCCAACAAAAAGAGGAAATACAATGGAGCCAGAAATGTGAAGAACATCAGCAGCAGCTGCTTCTAAACATTTCAGACCGCTGCAGTGATTCAGACATCTTCCCTCTTTCTTCTGACTGTTGGTTGGACCTCAGGTTTGTCACGCCGAGCGGTTCAGATCTGGCTTTCATGTGGTTACACAGACGAATTCCCAGCATGCATCACAACAATAGCTTCCAAATACTTAGATTTAGACCGTGACCAGTTAGAGGAGGAAGACTCTGCCTGGTTGGTTTGTCATTTTTTCACTTTATTTCTTTAAACGTATTAATTTAAGAATTTTCCACTACGAGCGGCTCAACAGCACTACAGCACGAGCTGTTAGAGGACAAAGTCAGGAGGAAAGGATGACAGGACAGGAAAAGACAAAAGAGAGCTAAGAAACAAAGTGAAAAGGACAAAAACAAAAAAAGAAAACAAAGAGGAAAATGAGAACAGAAAACACACACCTGTCATTAATGCGTTTGTTGATC